TTTTTAGATAATTTCTCCATATAAATTCATGGAAACGATAAAAGAACAAATTCCCGTAGCGGGAATCCCCCCTATTCCCATCGAAACAAATGATCCTCCGTTGATCCCTAAGAAACGCCCTTTCTCTGAAACCCTCCCTGATCTTTCCTCAACGTTGCAACGTTGTGGACGAACGGCTGAGGTTTCATTTGGTCGAAACAGGTTCTCACGACGCCACGTACGACGAGCAGAGGATATGAGATTGTGTAGTGCCAACTGTGCTCACCTCTAACAAGCTTTCACCGACAGATATTCCGCGGTGTCTGTCGCGACTGCGTGTTTCCAAGGGGAGCGTTTCGACGAATCTTAACCACCAGGTGTTATACGGATCAGGTCGAAGGGGTTGCTAACGGATATAATCGTGCGGATAATCGCGCTTATCAGGTAGAGCGAGAGAGAGAGAGAGGGAGGGGGGGGGAAGGCATTTAATCGAACAAATTGATATCGCGTTGCGCCAGAAACGAGTCCGTCCTTCCCTTACGCGTTGCTCTTCTTTGGAACCAATTCTCCCCTCTGATCTATCTCGCAATTTTCGTCGCGAATGAATTAATTAATTGAAAAAAAAAAAAGAAAAAAAAAGAAAGTGATTTCCGTTAAGAATTATATATTATTATTTGTTCTACGATTATTCCTGAAATGAATTTTTGAAACAAAAATGTAGGATTAAAATGGCGCGCATGTTGAAAGTAATTCGAGTTAAAATAAGTTTGTATTTCAATTTCACGGCGAGGCGGAAGGGAATGAAATTGCAATTTTATAGAGGTTTTATTTTTTATGTATTATAGAGGTTCTAGTTACAGAGTTTCGACTGTATTTTTTTTTTTTTTTTATCACCTTTGTTTGTTGTCTCGCGCTTTTTTTGTAAAAATATTTTTCAATCATTTTTTTTTTTTTAATTTGTAAAAATAAATTGTTTTCAAAGCATTTCGATCGTTTCACACCGATTTAAAGCGAGCGTGTAATCACGCGGTTTTACACAATCTCCCTTTTACCATACCTCGTGAAATAACTCGCAAGGAATTATAAGTAGGTTCGTTAGAAAAGAAAGCTAGTTAGTTGATCGCTATATTATACGGCACCCGGTTGAGGGAATGAACAATTTTCTTGGGATTGTTTCAAGGTTGATTCGCATCCATCAACGTCCACGACGATTTTCCGTTGCGCGTAACGCGGTTTCGAAACGAAAGCCGGTTTAACCGTTGCGTGTCGGACAACAATTCTTTCGTTTCCCGGACTGACTAACGATTGAACAATTACTGCCGCGGAAACATTGCTACGTATGCGGTACAGTAATTAGAAATAAATTGCCGGTACTGGTCCAATCTCGTTCGTGTCCTTTTGTACGTGCTTAAAAAGTATCCCGTCGTGGCAGGTACCGTTGTTTTCGATTCACGCGACAATTCTAGATGGTAAACAGATTGAACACGCCATTCCGACATGCGAATAAAAGTATTCAAATTCCACGGGTCGGAGTTTCGATAAAAGAAGAGAGATAGAAGGTAACAGAGAAAACAGTAGGATAGGATAATTATAGATAGTATAATGTATAATTCGTTTTACAATTTAAATATAAATGATTGACGTTTCTAATGATAAATGATTGTCTTTTACTCGTCGAACATTATTTTATTATTTTTTCTTGACAAAGATTATATTATTATGTAGTAATTACTCTTGTTCTGCCTGACGAATAACTGACCTATACTACTCGTCTTATATTACATGTTTGACAAATGGGAGACCTATATTACTAACCCAACCATGACAGCCTTATTCTACTTGGTAACAAATGACCAAGTTGCACTATTTGTCCGAGAATCTCTATGAGAGTCTTAACCTATTTAACTGATAAATGTTTGATCTATACTACTTGTTTCGTTCTTCTTAATAAATGAAAGAATTATTAATCGCTTGCCTTATTCTGTTTTGACAAACAATAAACTTATATTTTTTCATTTTGTTTCAGTGCTCGAATAAATAGCAGATCTATAATACAAAATGAGGATGATATCTTTGGATACTAAGAAAACTATAAAAAAGAAAGGTTAACATCGCAAAAGAATTGCGATTGCAATTGGTAATGACAATAATTATAGAGATAAGTATTTCAGCTAAATATAATTAAATATATACTTAAGCAAAAATTTTTATCCCAAAAATAAAATAAAAATTATGTGCAATTTTCTATTATATTTCCCTCATACATATTTCCCTAATACATTTCTAAAATTGTAAAATATGGACAAAAATTTTTGCTTTTATGAATTGTTTGGAAAATTCACGTGTCACTTCCTGTCCACTTATACTATTCTGATATAAATTCGAAAAATTGGAAAAATACAGCAAATACAGAAAATATTAGAGAAATGGAAGTAAAATGGAGAAAATAATAGAATCAAAAATCATTTTACAATATAATGGATAATCTGCAATCAAAGGATCATGTAAAAAGAGAAAAAAATATACGAAAGAGAAGAAATATCAGTGGCTGTGTTAGCGTAATATGAGTATATACGTGGATATCAACCATAGACGAAGTATAATATATATATATATATATACATATCTCCCATGGAATAAAGGATCTATCAATCCTGTTGTATCATATCTTTCATATATTTTTTATATACAATTTATATGTTGGATTTAATTGTTTCTTAAAGTATTAATTTCTTACTTTACGTGGTCACAAAAATAGCAGTAAAAAGGTAAGTAAATAAAATAATAAATAAATATAATAATTTATAAGTAAATTTTTCGAGTTTCAGAAATTTCAAGAATTTGACGTCATTTTCAAGAATTGGCAAAATATGTGAAAAAATTTTTAAAGCAAGCTGGTCAACTCATATTCTCCTAATACAAAGTCGGAAAATTAGCAAAACTTTTCATTCGTTCAAGAATTTCGACAATTCCAAAAATTTGACGTCATTACCAAGAATTGAAAATGTAAATATAAATGTACATAAACCAAAAATGTAACATTAAAAATGCAAATAAACACATTACTTTTTATAAATAAACCGAAATTGTTATTCATTTCCCACTCCCTTCTACAATTCCCTTCTACAATTTCCGAATTATAAAAATTCCGGAAATTTGACGTCATTTCCAAGAACTGCTAAAATTCTTGGAAAAATTTGGCGAACGACTTCCTATCAAGTTATGTTCTCCTAATATAAAATCGTATTTTCGGCCAAAAATTTTGCTCGAGTTCATGATTTCGCGAACGACCTCTTATCAAGTTATGTTCTCCTAATACAAAGTGGTATTTTCGGCCAAAAATTTTGTTGGACTTCAAATTTTCGCGAACGACCTCCTATCAAGTTATGTTCTCCTAATACAAAGTCGTATTTTCGGCCAA